TATAATAACTCATCAAAGTTTGGATTGGATCATTTTCCTAAAAGCCCGTGGCCTAATTGAATGAAAGTTAGAAAAGGAGGTGGAATATGTAAAAACTTTCGGTAGATTCAGAAAACTTTCTGCAGATGTGATTTGCTCTTTGTTTTTCTCTTGGAGGTGGAGTTATCAGAGCTGGTCTCAGCAGACACGTTTGTCATGTCTGTGTCAGCTACCGACAGAGATTCTGAACTCAATGGCAAGATCAACTACAGACTGCTTTCATCTCCCCTGCAAGGCTTTTACATCCAGCCAGAGGATGGTAAGGAACGGTGCAACTCATGAAAAGGGAAAGTGCTCCCATACATGATGTATGAACACTGACAGCAAAAGATTACTCTATACTCTATGCGCACATGTATATGGCACATGCAAAATCTAAGTATACCAGAGTTACTATACTCTATACTCATACTCTACTGATATCAAACGTTATGACTGTCTGGTGGTATGATTTCTATATTCAGGGGTTGCTCTCTACATTGAAGGTATCTTTACTTGCACAGTTAAAGTCATGCATGCCTTAACCAACGGCACACAGAAAACCTGATTGGGAGCAGCTCAGGATACAGCAGGAAATGATACTTGGACTTTTTCTTCTGCCAGTAGCATTTTAGCAATGTGGAAATATATTTTTGAAGTCTTGTGCTAGTGAGGTTCTTGGACAAGAGCGAAAAAAAGCCAATTAGAAGTCAGCAAGATAGAGTGCTTTGGATGAGCCTGTGTTATTATCTCCCTTTTAAGAATCCCTAAACCCAAGAAAGAAGATAAATCCTACATAGCTGAAACCAAACCAGCTCCCCTCAGTTCTGGCCAGTTCTCTTTCACTTAAGAGTAATTTATGGGCTTTTACCAGGTTTGAACCCCAAATTTAATATCAGAGAAATGCATTTGCCCTGTTTTGTGGTGAGATGCACTAATGGAAATTTGCAGCAATGTTGCCGAGTATGGTGCTTTCTGTGGTACGGTGTGTCTCTGTTAGAGTAGAGCCTCAGAGTGAATGCAATCGTCCTGTAGAAAACCTTAAGTGGCACTGAAGTGGAATAATAAATTGGATGAACAGACACTTTGTTGCATTTCACCAAGAAAATTGCCTTTCCATTCAGCAAATGGAAATAATGTTGCAATGCTGTGTCTAATGACGGTAGTTTTGATTTAACCCTTAATAAATTGATAGATTGTTACAATACACTGATCTTAAGAGGAGCAAATCCTTCAGCTGTATATTTCTTAAACTGAAGGCCAGGTCTTTGAATTCCGTGAAGAATATTTTGGTCTAAATGACCATATAACCATGAATTTATTTGCATTTGGTGGACCCCCTTTAGCTTGTTGATATATTATTCCAACATGAACTGTTCAAAAAGAGCTTCTTTTCATATCAGGATTGTTCACCTTTCTTAGTCTCCGAGTGCTTCTTGAAATATCCAGTGTGCATTGGGATCATTATTCTGCTGCATTAAGTCTGTTAATCCATCTTCACAAAGAAAAATGAAGCATCTGGTGTTGTGCTGCTCCTCCTGGGTAGATCCTGGTAGATACCAAAAACAGCTCCAACTCATGGTCACACTAAAGTCAGTAAAACTTTATTTTACCCACATTTCTTTTATAGATCGTCTTCAAATTCCACGACCTCATATTAGACCTCGGGTGACATGACTGCCTTAGTTGGCTAAACATTTGACCCTGACCTTTGTTGTTAGCGCCAAAGATCAAAGTTGACCTTGGAAAAATAATTTTAAGTAACCATTATGAGTAATATATCGCATGAAAGGGCATGGAGAGAGCTGTACAACTTACTTTTTAGGTATTCAATGTAACACCTTATGATGTTACAAAGACACCGTAACAGGCTGATGTCGTCATATTGTAATGAAAGCAGGCTGACGTCAGCATGTTGTAATAAAAACATCTAAGTTTTAGTTTAGCCCCTGGCCTTCGGTGGAGTTGTGCTCTCAGTGCTCATGTTTCACTATGTTCTGTTTTAAGTGTTGTCAAAATATCTGATTATTAACAGATTTGGTGGTGATAAAAATTTACGTTTTTTTCATGTGGTTTCAGACATTCGGATCCACAACATTTTGAGTCATGTTACTGACTACCTGAAGTTTTATCTTTGTTCCCGTGCTTGCCAGTATATATATTAAAACTCGTTATTAGATGCAGCAATATATTTCTGTCATAGATGATCATAGCTGGGAAGACTGCAGGCCAAACCAAAACCAAAGCACTAAACTATGGGCTAAACTTCCAAAGAGTTGAAGAGTTTTGCAATATTTGGCATGTATTGTAAAAAAAAACAAGTTATATCCCCTAGTTGAAAAACAAAGATGTGAATAAAGCCTTTATATTAATTTAGGCTTTATATTAAGCCTATGATTATATGCTAATAGTCCTGTTTGTGACTGTTACTGCCTTTAGTAACAGTCATAAATAACTCCTTTTACTTACAATGTTAGAACCATTATCAATACAACAATATCAACTGGTCCTTTAAAGAAACTCATTAACTGATGGGAATATATTCTATTTTGCAGGGTCTATTTTTACTAACAAGCCCTTAAAGGCCATCACAAACAGCAACCTGATCCATCTTCTGGTTGAAGCAAGAGATGGAGGAGATCCTGTGCACTCCACCGTTACCTCCATAGACGTGCTGATTTTGGACACCAACGACCACGAACCTTCGTTTTACCAGGACATATACACACTCACCGTCCCGGAGGACACGCCTATAGACACTACCCTGCTGACTCTTTCTGCAGAGGACCAAGACTGGAGCCCTGAAAATACCTATTTGGACTATACCATCACCGGGGGAAATGAGGAGAAAAGATTCTGTCTGGAAGTAAAAATGGTTCAGATTGAGAATCAGATTAAAAATGTTGGAAAGCTTGTTCTTTGCAACGCTTTAGACCGTGAAACTACTGAGAGCTATGCATTAACAGTGAGCGTTTCTGATCGAGGAATGCCTCCACTGAACAGCTCTACCGTCGTCATGGTGACTGTAGCAGACTGCAATGACAATGTCCCTGTGTTTTCCAGCACAGAGTACCATGCACAAGTAAGTGAAAACAGCCAGCTAGGTACCAAACTGGTCCAGGTCAGTGCCCACGATCCCGACCTCGGAACCAATGGCCTGGTGCGGTATGATATAATTTCTGGGAACAGTAAAGGTCACCTCAAGCTTGATCCTCAGTCTGGCCTCTTAGTAGTCAACAACTCTCTCGACTATGAAAAAGACTCGAAATACATCCTCACCATCCGAGCATCGGATGGTGGCAAATCATCTGAAAACCATAAAGTGGCATTTACGGTTGTCTTCATCACGGTGTTGGATGAGAATGACAACACCCCATATTTCATGTTTCCTACAGTTAACTGTTCTGTGCTGGAGAACCTCCCTGCATTTACCCATGTATGTTCTGTTCACGCTGTTGACAATGACTTAGGCCCTTATGGGCAGCTCACCTACTCTGTTATGTCCTCCTGCTTCATGAACTATGGCAGCGGTAACCCAGAGAGGAAGGAGGCCTTTGCTATCAATCCCCTGACAGGCGACATTCACACCAGACAAACCTTTGACTACGAACGAGAAAGCGAGTACTGTTTTATAGTGGAAGCCAGAGATAAAGGTGACAAAGCTGCTACAGTGAGAGTCCAAGTAAATATCAAGGGAGTGGATGAATTTAGTCCGGTCTTTACCCAGAAGCAGTATCACTTTCTGTTGCCAGAAAACGTCAAGCCTGGTGATACAGTCGGTTACGTGATGGCAATGGACCATGATGGAGGTGTGGACGGGGTGGTGGAGTACTCACTTGTGAATTCATCACCTTTTTTCTCCATTAACAGAACAATTGGGGCTATCTTTGTCTCTGGTCCTGTGTATCATAGGGCAGGCAGCCAGGACATGGTAGAACTGGTTGTTTCTGCAGCTAGTCCCAGATTAGGCTCCAGGACTACAACCTGCCTGGTTTTTGTCAATATCTCTAGTTCAGCTGAAGCACTAACTGGAGTCCCCCTGGATACTCATATGCTCAGTTTGACTGTTTCATTAATCATGTTTCTCTTTCTGCTTATCCTTTTTGTGAGCTTGGTTCTCAGATGTAAGCTCAAAGATGCAGCCATCAGAAAGGCTGCTGCCATTGCTACGCACTTGAGCCATGGAACAAGCTCGCTCACGAGACATAATAACCAAACACAAAGTTCCATGTCTTTGCATGACATTACACGCCCAAGCATCATGGTGACTAAAATGGACATCTCAAACCCATATAATCCATCAGACTCGAGCGGGCGAGGTTCAGCGGAAGGCGAGACAGCTGAGGACCAGGAGATCAAGTGGATCAACGAATACCCCTGCCGTAAAAGAAACGAATCTGCCCAGAAGTCCACAGAGATCCCACACTCTGCCTTACTAGGAGATAATATCTCTTGCAGTTCTATCAATGTAGGACCAGAGCACATCTTATCAGTCAATAAATGTTTAGTCTCAGGGATAGCCAGCACAGAAAGTCTCCACCACTTCAAAGAGGAAGGAGGAGGCGAGGGACTACTTCCTGGAATACTCAGGATGAGAGATTTAAAGGAGAACATGGGGATAAAAGGGTTCGTCCCCCTTTCTGAAGCCCAGGCTTCTGCAGATTCTCTCTCCTCACTGGTGTTTCTAGACGAGGAGTTGCAAGGTAGCTACTGCTGGGACTACCTTTTGGACTGGGAACCCCGTTTCCAGACTCTAGCCTCCGTATTTACTGATATTGGGATGCTCCCTGATGAGGAACTTCAAGATGGCCGTGAGGACTTAGCAGCAGAATCGAGTTGTCTCATGTACCCACCACCTCTTATAACAGGGGTAGCACAGCCGGGCATAAGGACCGTTCCTCCACGAAAGCCGGGGCGTGTGCCAAGCATCGCCAGACGACCCTCTTACCGGAAATATGCTTATTCCCCCTTAGCCAGGAACACTGGACTTACCCCTTCAGCTATGACACCTAATTTCTCCCCATCACTGTCTTCGCTCACTATAAGGACCCCCAGTGCCTCACCAGTTGTCTCAGACACTGGAGTTGGGGGGATCAGACTTGAATCAGGACCCCTCACTGCTAGCCTTTTAGAGGCAGAAATACAGGTATAGCCAAAAATTTTAAGTGACATCACTTTCATTTACGATTCACCTTTTGAAGTTTTTTTAGGAGACACTGCTCAGTTTGGTTGTGATTTTGTTGATATTCAGATATATTCCTGGTATCATTTCCATAATAGCCTCATTGTCCACTTGTAGGGTTTTAAAGGGTGATACAGTAATACAACACAATAATATCCTATTGAAGTTATTGTAGTGGTTTGCATTCCGGGCGAAATCGTAACTCACTTCAGTAAAAATACTAAATTAATATCTGGAAAACTCGGACTGAAACCTGTCTTGCATTATATTCTTGTTATGTACATGTCTGAAAAAGAGCAGATGTTCCAGTCAGCAATTAATTACCGAATGTTTTATTGTAAACATGTATATGAGCAGAAAATGAAACACTTTGTTATTGCAGTTGGTTGCAGCTTCTAAATGGAAACTTTTTCATGGTTGATTTAACTTTAATAACCAAAGAAAGGCAATATTTTTCTGTGGTTAGCTATGTTAGCTGCTTCCTGGAATAATAAAAAATGGTATTTTGAATCCAGGCCTTTTTGCCTCCCCTTTTCATATAATCCCTCAATAAATCCCAGTGAGAAACAGAATACATTTTATTCCTTCAATTTAATACTTTAATACTTTTAAAGATAAAAGAAAGGCTGGGTTAGTGCAGCTATCTCTCAAAACCAAAATACAGTTCAGAAATTCCTCACTGGTACGAAGTTTGTACAGATTATACCGTTTCTGCTATCTCTATTCATGAACCAGCTTCAGATTTTTGTCATTTTCTCATGATATATATTCATGATTGTGTCTGTGCGCTGTCTGTAAACTATGGCCACCCTGTTAATAAACAGCACTTCAGGTATAATTTTCAGAGAAATGTATAATCTAATCTAAAACATTTGTAAGTAAATAATTTGTAATAAAAAAGTTTCTCTTGGGGTTTTTTTTTTTTTTGGTCATATTGTGCTTCCGAGTTTCTTTAGGGTAATTTGATTTGCATGTGTACGTATTTCCTCATTTCCAGTGATAAAAAATGTTTTTTCGTCACTGTAACTGAGAATCAGTGACATGAACCACTAATAAAGACAGGATTCTTGTGGTGGGGCAATAATAAAACAGCTCTTTAAAGACATTTTTGCAACAAATACATTAAACTTTTATGATGTGTTTTCCCAGGATATTGCATTTTACGCTTCAGATGGTTTTCTTTTCATGAATCTGGTCTTTCACATGGTCAGCTTCAATATTTTGCATCTGAACAGCAACAAGAGGTTAAATTCTTTGATAATACTTTACATAAGAAAAATGGGATAAAGGTTTTCAAACTATGTAAACACTTGTGGTGGTGTGCAGCGCTATCACAGATTCTGTTCTTATTCTTCACTTTTAGGATGCTGATGTAAACATTTACATCCTGTATAGATGCTTTTTATAGACCAACACTATAATATGCGTACACTCTCTAACCACTTTGTTAGGTACACATGTTAAACTGTTTTTTACTGCAAATATGTGTCTATCAGCCAATCAAAGGGCAGCAAATCAGTCCATTTAGACACGTAGACATGGTCAAGATGACCTGCTAAAGTTCAAACTGAGCATCAGAATGATGATTGAAGTTACTTTGCCAGTCCTTTAGTATTTCAATTGTCCACACAACCATTTCCAGGGTTTACAAATATACAGCAACAGCAAATCTTTGCCTGGTAATTAAACCTCAAAACATCAGAGTCTGGCTCTTCTAATGTGAACATTAATTTAGGTTATGAAACAAATTGATTAAAATAGAGGAAAGCCAATATCATCACTAGTATATTTCAACCTAATACTTACTGATGGATTATAACCTTAATAATGAGTTATTGTTGTTATGTTTCCCCTTTTATTTCAAGTTTTAGAGACCTCACATCTCTCCTGTCTTGTTTAAATGATCTGAAAGTGGTTCAACATGGCTCCACGTGGTCTGCTGTTAATCCAAGTGTGCTGCCTTTGGGCAACATATGAGCCGAGGAAGCAGAAGAGCTAAAGTCTTTATCAGATAGTTTCACAGAAGATAATAAACAGTCGAGCCTTGAACTATACTGGCCAAGTGTGCCCTGCATGTAGCCACTGAGAGATGTATAAGTATTTATTGACTTAGCCAGCTTCTCTACTGCACATCGCAGGGCTTTGACAAGCTTTCCACTCTTCTGTATTTGTGATTTCAGTGGGTCTCTGGCCTCAGGACCACAGTGATGAAAGATATCTCTAACTATATCAGGTGATCTGGCAAAGCAAGCTTGTGTGTCTCAGCACATGGCTCAGCAGTCCCTGCACCAATGTTAAGAGTTATTCAGCGGATCTTTATAAAACGCGGCCCATCACTCAGGCAGTCAGGTATGAGTACGTTTACAAAGAAGGGTCAAGAAGTCTCAACCACACTAAGATGTTTCAGTACTTACACAAAAGAAAGAGAGATTTGTGAATAATGTTGAACACATGCTTGAGAAATTTTGACGTCACATTAGGCTGGCTTAAATCATCAGCATGACCAGATTGTTCAGATTGTTTTTCCACCGTGTGCTAAAATATTACATAAATGTTTATGTGGACACAGGGGGACCACATCCCAACAAAGTAAATGTGAGGCACACAGACTATGACTGTGTGTTACAATGTGGGGTGTCCTGCTGAAAAGGTGGTCTAAAAAATCAGAAATATCTCACAAACTGCAGGCTAGAAGTTTGTCGTCCAGCATGTGAAAGACAAATCTACTTGGTTTAACTCGCTCGCTAAAGCATTCCAATAAGCATACGCCAAAGTCTATTTTTATCATGTTATCTGCTATTATTGTTATCTAGCGTCTGTGCGGTCTGGTAACACTCTTTGAGTTTCAGCAGGCTTACGTCACTACGACTCTTTTTGAGCATCGCATTTTTTGTGATACTTGGCATGTAAAGGGTAAACTGGTCCTTATGCAGCACGTTTCTATTTTATCTGCGCACTTAAGGCACTTTACACAACTCGCCTCATTCACACATTCATACAAGCATTTTTTTTTCTATATAAGTGTTTTCTATCTAATGATGGATTTGTTAGAAGAGAGCAACTTGGGGTTAGTATCTTTCCCAAGGATTTTTGGCATGCCCTGCTCTATCCCCTGAGCTACAGCCACCCTGTGTCACTTCATGTTATATTTACCATAGTCATGGTGATGTTAAGCAGCAAAAGACAGTGATAAATAGTGCTGCTATCTTCACAGCCATTAGTTATGACAGCGAGAATTCAGAAAGTGTAGAAAACGGCATCGTCTTACTGAACTGAAGGCCTGAAAGTCAGATTCTGACGCAATGATAGTCTGATTCTGTTTAACTTCAAAGGCCAGACTGACTGTGCAATAACCTATTGTTTTATGTTTGAGAGGAGACTTTGTTATACCATAACCCATAGAAGCTGTAGTAGCAGTTTGTCAGGCAAGTAAGTCAGCTTTTGACATGTTAATTGAAGACTTGCTATAGATTTAAGAGCCATATGTTTTACAGCCATTAGATTCTTCTTGACTTCTTCCTGCTGTGCGTCATTAAGCGCAGTACTCGATCTATTTGAAAATTCCAAAGATTCGGCCATCGAGAGGTCTGGAAACGAAGGCAGTCTGTTTTAAACAAAGAGAAAGCCACAGCTGCCTCTAAAACCTCCTCCTCTCTCTACTCCACAACCACTTCAGACACTTCTCTTATGTACACATCTGAGCTCACTCCTTCGCAACAAACATTTAGCACATCTTGAAGTATAGTCACTGAGAGCAGCACTAAACAGTTTCGCCTTCAAAGAGCCGATCGTCTTGTCCCGTCACACCGTTTGACACGTTTTGAATGGTGGATGTTTGGGTCTTGGGATCCAGGAGCATTGCTCCCTGAACAACGGTGGTAATTCTGCAAACTTTACCTTCTTACAAGTCAGACGTATGCATTCAGCTCAATGAGCGACTCTTTAATTTTTACTGTTACGTGCAGATGGTTGAAGTGTAAATTAAAAGTCTATCGCCTCATGTAAAAACAACATATATATATATTGCCAACAGCTACAGAAACAGACATGTTTCCTGGTGTGCACAAAGAGAAAAGTCTGTTTATTGTGTATTTTGGGTGAGACTGAAGGCAAAGCACAGTACATTTTATTGCTCATTACAAGATGATTTAATGGTGGCATAAAATGTTCCTAATTCTGATGCGCTCCTCTGGATACGTGATTATAAGAAACTTGAGCTGTGTTTTGGGTAGGAAACTTTTTGTGCGGTTAATTTTATTTGAGCTCAGGACCTGAGACAAAGCTCTTTGTTTTTTATTATATGGAGGGGTTTTTTGTCGTTTATATATTTTGACAAATGCATCACCGCAACTACCAACGCAAGGCAACTTATATAAGACTATGAGCTTATACTGGATCCTCTATTGTCGGATCAGGTCGAGCTAATACTATTCCTCCTGAACCAGGTTTTCCTACCGAAAAGGAAGAAAAGAAGAAAAACGCTCGTTCGGCCTGATCAACTGGAAGAAGAGGCACTGACAAATAAAACCCAGCTGTGTTCTCCTCCTGGATTGGATTTCATATTTATCTCTATTTGCATTCTGTTGAGATATATGCTGGCCTCTAAACAAGTTTTGCATTGTGGTTTCTGGCTCATATCACAGGGGGCTTGAGGCCCGATGATGCACTGAAGGAGTTTAGGTTACTTCAACTTGGCTGAGAAACTGTTTCACGTAGAGGAGCAATCAGGAATACAGCTGAGGTTATAATTAAACTGTTTACATACTCATCATTAAAGGTGTTGATGACTGTTAGGGGTTTTTTCTCCTTTTGGCAAAACAATCACGATTTAATGGACAAGTATATAGGACACTATACAGGATGCTGCGAGGCATATTTGTGTGTTTTACCTCACACATATGTTTGTGTTTGTGTTTAGCTAATCAGGAAGTTTGAGCAAGGACCAGTTTAATGTAATCATAGGGTTCTGATACTTTATTTTTTTAGCCATACACATTGGATTTAAAGAGAAAAAAAATACAAAGTTTGTAATGCTAGTTCACCTGCTGATACTAGTACATATTGTGAAACAGTAATTTTATAATACACAAATATAGACTATATCCATTACTTGGACTTGGCACAAATGATCCCTAATACATGTGTTTACTACCGAGAGGCATCCGTAACATCATCCTGAGAGCATTAGTTTAAAATCGGAATAAAGAGAGTTAGCGCAATACATGGCACGATGATACAGTTTATCTAAACAAGGTTTGTTGTCTATCAGTGTTTTTTCCAGTACTTGCGACAGTCCCGTCCAATTTGTGCCTGTTTGCCACAGTCATATCATATTAAACAAAGAATTTGAATGAATAAATATTGTTGTTTTGGATATCCCCAAATCTCTTAATTTCCTCCTAATTTAAAGCTACTAACAAAGTTATTCGAGTATTTTCACAGACTAATCCAAAAAGTATCTACAATGCAGAAACGTCAATCTTTATAAAAGTAAGTTCACTCGTGGTGAACAGTGTGGGTTGGCATGGAGACCATGTGTGGCCAGCTCATTGGGAACGGCTAAGATGTTATTGATGCCCAGATTTCTTTGGTGGCAGCGTTTAGCATGCAAAACTTACCTTCATCTGAAAGCTTTGGACCCGCGACCACTAGTCCACTTTTATTCTCTTTAACCAAGCTAGGATGCTCCTGCTGTTGGAGTGGCTTTGCTGTGCTATTTGTGATGTGACAGTGTTACCCCCTTTTTCTGAAACTGCCTGCGTCTTAATGCACTGAGTGTGAAGCTTGTTACTGTTTTAATATGACTTACAGTACTCTCCAAACAGCCAGCCTTCTCAGCG